AAAAAAAAAAAAAAGATTTCTAAAAAAAAAATAATAATTAAACAAAACAAAACAAAACAAAACTTCGTAGGGTTGGGGCTCCTGGCTGGCTCAGTCAGTGGAGCATAGGACTCTTGATCTCAGAGTCACAAGTTACAACCTCACATTGGGTATAGAGGTTACTTTAAAAACAAAACATGCTCTGGGGCGCCTGGGTGGCTCAGTAGGTTAGGTGTCTGACTTTGGCTCAGGTCTGATCTCACCGTTTGTGAGTTTGAGCCCCGTATCAGGTACTGTGTTGATAACTCAGAGCCTGGAGCCTGCTTCAGATTCTGTGTCTCCCTCTCGCTCTGACCCTCTCCTGCTCACACTGTGTGAGCTGTGTGTGTGTCTCTCTCTCAAAAATAAATAAACATTAAAAAAAAAAAAAACTCTTAGATACATTCTTGCCATATGGAAAGTGCTTCATAAATATTATCATTATTATCATTAGCACTATCGTCAATATCCTGGCAGGAAAAATAAAGAGAATTAACATCCTTCAGCAAGTGAGAGTTAGGAAGGAAGTCAGATTTTGGGGGGAGGTGGGGAATAGGCAGGAGCTTTTCAAATCAATCACCCAGAATCCCCAAAGGGGCTTTGAGTCAGGGGTGAGAAGAGAGAAATGTCATTGACCTAGAGGTCAAGTCCTGCTGGACCCAGCAAATTCAGGCAGAGGGGAAGGAGGAGAGATGAGAACAGAACTGGATTGAGACTCCTTGGAGTGCATGAGCCAGACAAGAGCTGTGCCAGACAAGAGCTGTGGGCCCACAGTATGTGGAAAGGCCTCTTTCTCCCTCCTCTTCCCCAGCACCCATGGGTCTGGGGAACCCCAGGGCCCACTTCAGGTACTCCCAGTGGTTATTTTCAAAACCAACTTGGTTGCTTCCTAGAAATTTGCAATGGCAACCCATCAACAAAGAAAACAAATCACAAGGAGTGCCCCAGGGATAGAGGGAAGGTGCCTTGCCCCCTTTCAGAGGCAATCATGTTTTCCCCATACCTTTCACCTGCCACAGCCCTTGTCCCATGGGAGAAAGTAGCCAGAGGCCTAGAATCCTTCTTCCATGACTGTATCCCATCAACACCTGAAGGCCCTCCACTTGCTCTTACCCGTGGCCAGGAAGCGATGAGCCGCCAGAAGTAGCTGAGGTGAAATTTTCACCTTGAGTTCATTGTCAGCATCCTTAAAGGCTGAGAAGTCACGTTTGTTCTTCTCAGATACTCGTTTCCGGCTTCGGTTGTCAGCTGCAAGAGGCAGAATCTAGAACTGAGAACACTGAACCCCAATGACTCAGGAACAGACTAGAACCTGCTCCCCAGTCCCCAGCTCTGCAGTCCTTTCTTCCAGGCACAAGCAGCAGTGTCTGCACCAGGGCAAGGTCCCTGGCCGGGGTGAGACACGGAGTTCCTGGGTCTCAGGGTGCCAGCCCTCCCATGTCCTTGCACTGTGGCCTTCTCACCTAGGGACACCTAGGATGTGAATAGGAAAAGGGTTCCAGGCCTGTGGAGAGGATGGAACTCACTGTACATATCCGACTCGTCCAGGATCTCAGATTTGATGATCTCCTCAATGACATCCTCCAGGGTGACCAGGCCCAGCACCTCGTAGAAGGGGTCACCTTCACCCTCGTTGTTCACCTTCTGCACGATGGCCAGGTGGGACTTCCCTGGCAGGGGGTGGGGGGAGGGGGGGGAACAATGCAATGAGTCAGGCAAGAACAAAGGGATCAGGCATGAGACTCCTCCACCAAAACGTTAACACACTTGGGGTCATGAGTCACTGGGGTGGGGTATGGGTGGTTTTTTTTCCCTTTTCTTTATTTCCTGAAGTTTCTACTGCAAACAGATATTGCTCTTATGAAAAGGAAAACCAAAAGTATTTTTTAAATCTCAAGGCATTTCAGACCTTTTGTTTCAGTAGGATGAAAATGGCAAGGGCCTGTCTGGTGCCATGCATCAGGATCTCCTGAGAGTCCTGGAGAGGGGAAAGACCCACATTGACAACCCATGGACAGTGGAGCCATCAGTCAGAGACATGTGTGTGCCAACTGGACATGGGGCTCCTCAGACAGCCCAGGCTGCCCATGGGGCCCCACGGGGCACTCACATTCCTTCACCCTGCTCTCCTTGGCAAACTCCCCAGCATGTACCCAGGGGCTGTGATACTGCCCGAGGCAAAGGCTCTCAGTTCCCAAAACCATTAGCAAATTAGCCCGGGCTGTAATTAGGCCAGGCAAATACTATAATTAGAGAAAGGCCACCCTTTCAACCTAAAACAAGAGAAAGTTGGGTAGCAGAGGGAGGGTGGAGGGACCCTCCACAGAAGCTTTGTGGGGTAGCAGGGCTTTCCTGGCCCTCTTTCTGATTGTCTACCCTGTTCTCATGCCCCCTGCTCCAGTGCATGACAGGAAGGAGACAGCCAAGGGCTTGGCCCACACTTCAGTTTGAATGGAACTGTGTACCCCACACAGGGACACAGGTTTGGAGCAGCTTAAGGGAAAAAACCCTGGGAGAGCTGAGGTCAAGCTAGGGTCTCCTATGCAGTGTCCCCTTCACAACCCAGTCTTAGGCCCCACTCGAAGAACTTCTCTGTAGAGGACATTTTCCAAGTCTCTAAGGCCGCTGGAAATCCCCCAACCCCAGGATGCGTTCCTCAGAACTCCAGAGAGGCACCAGTTCTCAGGAGCAGCATTTTAAAAAACAGAATAAAGGAAAAAGATATCAGAGTACACCACATGTGACTGGGGCGGGGGGTCGGGGAGTATGTTCTGTGCAACTTTCACACACATGCCAGTCACTATGCTACACTCATTTCCAGCTACAAGTTGTGGTCAAAACACTTTCAGCACTTTGCTAGACAGAACCATGGCTACACTTGATTAAAAACTCTATTGTCTCTCTCTGTCTCAAAAATAAACATTAAAAAAAAAATTTTTTTTTTTTAAAAGGGGGGGTGCACCTGGGTGGCTCAGTCGGGTAAGCATCCGACTTTCGCTCAGGTCATGATATCACAGTCCGTGAGTTCGAGCCCCGCATTGGGCTCTGTGCTGTCAGCTAAGAGCCTGGAGCCTGCTTCAGATTCTGTGTTGCCCTCTCTCTCTGACCCTCCCCCATTCATGCTCTGTCTCTCTCTGTCTCAAAAATAAATAAACATTAAAAAAAACACAAAAAACAAAAAACTCTAGACATGAGGGGCACCTGGATGGCTCAGTCAGTTAAGCATCCAACTCAGGTCATGATCTCACTGTTAATGAGTTCAAGCCCTCCGTCGGGCTTTCTGCTATCAGCAGCATGGAGCCTGCTTCAGATCCTCTGTCCCCAGCTCACTCTTCCCCTTCCCTGCTGGCACTCTCTCTCTCTCTCAAAAATAAATAAACATTAAAAAAACAAAAAACAAAACCAGACACACACACAAAACCCCTCTAGACATGAGCCAACAGGGGCAAGAGATCCATCAAGGTCCTCCAGCAGGCAGCACCCACTCAGAGCTGGGTCTGGCCCCCAGGCCTCTCTGCCTGCTGGAGGCTGCCCATCCAGGAGTGTCTTCTAGAAACAGAAACAGTGTTCTGGGTGGTCTAAGGCAGCCAGCTAAACTATGCCATCAGGTGGAACCAGAGTAAAAAGCGAAGTAGCTTTTACCACCTGTCAGACTGGCACACTCCAAGACTGGTGATGCCCAGTGTTGGGGGAGACAAACATGCTGTCACAGGGTCCTCTGTTTAGTGGACAGGTAAATGGGCATATGTCAGGAGGCCGATCTGGCAGCCTGTCTCAAAACTAAAGGTCTCTAACCTAGGAATCAGAAATTCCACGGGGAGAAAGTTGGCTATAATCTTTCCCAAAGCAGAAAGACACAGAAGCAAACAGAACACTGTTAACAACCTCAAACCAGAAACAACCTAAATCAACAGCAATGGAGCAGGAGTACTGAATAGTGGCCGCCACTGCTCTGGGGAAAAGGCAGCAGGCTGGATGGACAGACAGAATGTGGAATGAAGCCCCACACAGACTGTTGATGGAACAGCAAGCAGTGGTGCCAGCTGCCTGTGCAGAAACTCAGGGCTGGCACTTGGCGGGATGGGGGGAGGAGTTGAATTGCCTTGAATTGCATGGAAGAGCAGACAGTGATCACCTCTGGGGTTATGTGGAGTTTGGGGGAGAGGCCCTATTATCCCTTACTCTGTACCCTTCTGATACTGTTCTACTTGATGGGCAGGTTTCACTACTAGAATTTTTTTTAATTGACAAAGAGGGGAAAAACAAAATCAAGGGAAACAAAGGGAGACTGGGGAGACTCTAGGGTGAGCAAGGGACCCTCTGTGCCTAAACGGACACAGACTGAGTCCCACGTAATGAGGCGTGTTTGAATGTGGCTCAGTTAGCAGCGCCTTGCTCAGAGCGCAGAAGTCAGGGCCCCGGCACAGAAGAGACAAAGCTTTAATAACCTGAGCAAATGTCCTCCTCTACACTGAGCCTCCCTCCAATTAACCACAGGCTCACAACAAATCCTGACGCACAGTCACGGGTGCACTAGGCCACACAGGGAAAGGCTGGTGGCTTCTCTAAAGGACAGAAATATCCCTCCTTATAGAAGAAATAAGCTGATTCCTTGACACCAATGTTGGGGCCACTCTCAGCCCTCCTGCCTCCTCTCTGAGGCTCCGTTGTTTGCAGCATCACTGGTGTGTGCGGATGCCCTCTAAGGGACAGGTAACCTGAAGGCGTACAGACCTCGGGCGCCACCCAGTCACCTCTGCTCTACTTTGCCCAGAGGAGTTTTGTTTTGTTTTGTTTTTTATGGTCTTAGCAGAAGATTCTCCTCCTTGACTAGAGAACCTCTCTTGCCAAGGTCACCAGTGACTTCCAGTGACAGGGTCTCATGCTCAGGCTGCATCTTCTGATGAGGGGTCACTCTCTCCCACTTCCTGGAAATCCTTCCTCTCCTTGGTTTCTAGCACACAGCTTTCCTGGTGTTTCTCTCACCTCAGGGGCTGCTCCTTCTCCCTGACCTCTTTACGTGGGAGCATCCCAGAGCTCAGTCCTCGGACCTGGTCCCTTGCTTTGTGACTTTAAATACAAACTGTATGTCAAGGCATCTCAAATAAACACTTCCAGCCCAGCCCACTCCCGCATCCTCTGGACTCATAAACCCAACTGGTGGCTGATGGCTAGGTAGGTAGCTTCTCCTAGATGCCTAACATCTTGATCTCCACGTGGCCAAAACCAAATTGCCACCCTTCCCCCCAGCCTTCCTCATGTCCATCAATCCAGTAGATCAGGCCATGGGGGAGTAAACTGTCTCCTGTTATTTCTCTACCCTTTTATATCCAACCTTTCCAGTAGATCCTGTCAGCTCTACCTGCAATGGACACTTAGAATCTGGCCTCTTCTGGAGGCCTCCACTGCTACTGTCTCGTTCCGGGCCACACACATCTCCGTCTCACCCAGAGAACTAGACTAGCCTCTAAGCAGCTCCCTGCTTCATCCTGGACCTGGGGTTGGCTCTCAACACAGCAGCAAGAGGGGGGAAGTCAGGTCACCTTATGCCTCACCCAAGTCCCTCCACTGGCTCCTGTCTCACTCCTAGTAAAAGCCCCATCCCCCACAGAGCCCTTGGTGCTGACCCTCTCATGTCTCCTACCACTCTCTCTCCAGTGCTCAGGTCAGCCACAGGGCCTCTTTGCTGTTCTTCAAACACAACAGGCTGCTCCCTTTGCCTGGCTTGCTCCTCCCCCACACAACTGGGTAGCCTGCCCCCACTTCAGGTCTTTGTTCATATGTGGCCCTCTCAGTGAGGCCTCAGTGAAAACTGCATAGCCCTTACCCAAAAACTACGACTCCTCCTCCAGCACCTCAACCCTAGTCATTAAATCCCCTAAAATAAATGATATAGTACGCTTATTCAATGAACTTATCATTTATGGCCCGTCTTCTCCTGCTATATTTTGAGCTACACTACAGCAGGGGCTTTAGTCTGTGTTCTTGAAACTCAGAACAGCGATTGGCATCCAGTTAAGTGTTCAATGGCTATCAGGGAATGAATGACTCAGTTCACGTGGACGTTCCATAGGAGAAAAAAAATGTAATCAATGGGAAGGGGGAAAGGGATGGAGCCTAGAGAAGAATTATTTTGAATTTCAGTAATTAAGTTTCTGTAATTCAAAAATCATTTTTAATTTACCTTTTAAAATAAAAAGACCAACTTAGGACTTATATTTATGATCCTCATTCTATGAAATTTAAATCTAATACAGAATTTTTACTTCAATGATTTACCTCATTTTATTATTAATGTGCATTCAACTGGATAATTGGATTTTGGGGGTGGTTGGGGTGAGAAATGAAACATGAAAATTTAAATAATACATCTATCCCAAAAGCTGAGAATCCCTCAGTTCTCAAAGTAGTCCTCATTCAAAGAAAAAAGAATGAGGAAATATAGCAACATGCTCATATTTGGCTGATCCACATGAAATTGTTGATATTTGACTATTTTTGACCAAGAAAAATGACAATTTCATATTATTCAACCTAAAAGTATGGGAGGTTCAGGATGGTTTTTCTGTTTTATACTTTTCTGAATAGAAAATCCAACCTTTCCACAGTCAATAGTTTTAATTTTACAATCAGAAAGAAAGACATCCACTGAAGTAACTTTGAAAAAGAC